CTTTCATTGTCAAAGGCTGCCGACTCTGGCATGGGCTCCTCAACTCAACAACGGAAAACCCCGTGTCGGCGACTGGGTTCACACTCACTAGTCTGCCACCCCTGGGTCTCCATGCCCTCACAAGATCCTTCTTTCCCACCCTATTCACTTGAAAGCGGGATACTTTTTTCGCGACTGGCCGAATCTTTTCGATAGTCTCACTCAAACCCCGGTTGCTGGTGAACCCTACCTTAGTCTCACCTTAGTCCGACTCTGTAGTCGCGTAAACTCCCCTTTGGAAAACTTTTGAGTGGTTGTGAGTCTGCTTTTACTGGATTTCTTGATCCGGACCTCGTCTCGCGGTCTCCCTGGCAGGCCACGACTGGCCAAAGCTCATCCCGAGAGCCATGCCGATGGGCTTCCCAACGTCTCTTAGATGTACCTCGAGTTACAGTTCCGGTTTTAGTTGGATAAAGAAGCGATTTGCGTAGTAAGACGTTCTCTACTGTAATGGAATCCACTCGTTCCACTGGAAATCTTACCCTTTGTATCGGCCAGCAGCCTCAACCGCCCACAGCCAATTCAACTCTTCGCCGCACCCATCCACGACGCTCACAAAGTCCCTAATGATAAGTATCTAGTGGTCAAGCTGTGCAAAAACGGGGTAAGTTGGCTTATACCCGGTCTTGGCCGGTGGAGCTCTGTTGGCTGTACCATGTCTCCTTGGCCTTGGAAGGCGTGGCGGATATTCCGGACACTTTCCCCGTGGGATTGTAGATACGCACGTCTGATAACTTGCATACTCAGATCTTCGATCCATGTAGGCGAAATATTCATCACTGTAGGTATATCAAGGAAGGCACTGTACCAATGCCGGCCGGATAACTTGATGGCGAGCAGGGGAGACCGTCAGGCTTGGGCCTAATGTACCATCAAGCCATTGCGCGAACATGATTCGAGGACACATTCCTATGGTGTGAGAGTTTGGCTAAACCCCTTGGGTCAAATAAGGTAAGTATATGGATTCAAGGTTACTAAGGGAGTAAAACATGAAAGCGTCCAAAAACAGTTCAAGTTGCGGTGTATGTCATTCCATTCGCTCTGACCGGCTTCACTCTTGTGTTATCATACGATTCGTAACCGTTTTGCGTTGGGCGGTCATCGTCCTGCAACCTTTGGTCCGATCCTGCAAGTCATTTTCGACGAGGGCTGCATGAAGCGCTCCTTAATCCAGATAGTCAACGTTGTCGTCAGCCAACCACGTTGTAACAGTGCCTCACCGGGATAGCCAAGACTGCCGGTCTACCCAGTCATCCTCCATCATCAGTCTGAGGGGATCCTTGCCGACTCCAGTTATAAATAAGAAAGGAATTTTCGGCCCTCGTGCTCGTGGTCGGATGGTTAGTGTCGACATTTTTTTGAATCACACCTTTACCAACCATTTCCAGCTGCGTTTCAAACACAACCACCGGACAAAGCAGCAACTCACGAGCGCCATTGCGAGGACGACTGCAAGAAACGCAATCATCAAGCGAGGGCGGCTGCCCTCACCGTCCCCTAGGACAGCCTGACTGGCTGGGTTGCCGACCAAGGTTGCCAGACTCACAACAGCATAGCAGCAGCCAATGTAAGTACCACTGTCTTGCGGGTCGCAGAGTCGTCCGAGACATGTAGCAGCCGTCGACACAAAGCTACCGGTACCGAATCCAAGACAAAAGGCGACGGCATAGAGCGTAGGCGCGGACGTGTCTCCGAACGCTAGCCACAACACAAGCATGACCGCCTCTGTGAATATTGTCATGAGTATGGTCACATTGAAAGGCCCTAATTTATCGGTGAAATATCCAGGAACGATTCTGCCGAAGGAAGACCCCCTGAGAAAACATGAGCTGAAGAACCAAGCGTCGGCCCTAAGATCCCGCGTCGATCAAGGGGGTGGTGAACTTACACACTGAAGACAAGGGTCAAGTAGAATACATCGCCCAGCTTGACTATTCTGGCATACGTGGGTAGCAGACCCCACGCTACGAACAGCACCAACTCGAAGCCTGCCATCACATTGCATTAGGGCTACTGATACTCGATGAAGTTGGTGTGGTACAACTGCCATACCGCATACGCTGAAGGTGAAGAGGACAAACTTCCAACGCCTGAAGCAGGCAAAGTCCCACATCTTTCCTTTGCGAGCCTTGAGTACTCTGGGCCTCGTCAAGGCGCATCCGAGGGATAAAAAGGCGCAAATTATGGCAAAGTGGATGAGACTTGCTGTCGTCCACTCGAAGTTCTTGGTGGTGAACCGAAGCACCACAGAGAAGATCACGCCACCCAGTCCTCCACCCATGGTGCAAATGCCCATGGCCAGTCCCTTCTTGTCGTCAAACCAATGATTAATAACGGCTAGCGCAGTGGTGGTCAAAGCCGCTACGTCCGTAACGTTAGGATAATTCTTGACAGTTACGCTTTACCCGAGATGGACAAAGAACCTACCTGCACCTATACCAGCAGCACAGAAGCAGACCATGAATTGCCAGTACTGACTGCTGAAGGCGACCCCCAAGAAGGCCGCGCTGTACACAATGGCTGCGGGGGTCACGAGCCATCGGGGCCCAAACGTATCAAACAGGATGCCGAAGGGGCCGCAAAGTAGAACAGATAGAAACCCAAAGATGGATATAATCCAGGATACTTCCGTGTTAGACCATGGAGCAAGCTGATTTTCCTTCCAATACACCTGAAAGATGCCCACGGTCGTCATTAGACCGAATGTCGGGATCATGAACGCCATTGATCCCACAAGAACAGACCAAGCCCTCCATCCACGGTCTACAGGCTCTCTTGATAGCACCTTGACCTGGTCGTTAGAGGCATGATGTACCGTCGAAGGCTGCTGAGTTTGGGGCAACGTCGGGCGGCGGATTATGGCAGCGGGGCTGGAGTGAGAAACGGGTCGGAGCGGCGGCAGTCTGCACAAATGGACGTAAGTCAGGTCAGTCAGGTCCGCTAGAAGAAGCAAGGAAGAGAGCTGAGGGGTCCATGAACATGCCCTATGCCTGTTTTATGGCGGAGTGACGGCATGCCACACGCCCTAGAGCGTGTGGTTTCCTCGACATCCACGTTTGGACTGGCCGCTACCTGAGACACTGATGATGTACGCTGATCGAGCTGACTTGGTCTAGACACGTCCATGGCTGTGTTAGGTACTTGATAATATCTGGTGATTCTTTTTCTGTTTTCTTCAGAGAGAGATGACAACAGTAGGTACACCAGTCTAGCACACAGGCTTCATGAAGGTTGGATCAAGGGTAACGGGCTTCTTTAACACTACCCTTAGCCGTACCAGCTCTTTCTTTGTAAGCTGTAAACCAACATAGCTACGGACAAAACCCGGACACTTTCCGCTTGATTTCACTCAGACCAAGCTTCGGAGTGCAATTTACTGTTGGCGTAAGTCCGGCAACTCCAAGGCTAGATCAGCGGAACGCCCAGGCAAGGGCCCACACCTGGTCCAACCGAACATTTCTTGTAGTTTAGAAGTATCACAGGAGACTTATCCTTGACTCGTTGAAAGAGGTTGTTGGTTTATCCCGTGCAACGCAACTGGACTTATGCTGTTAGACAAAGACCAGTATCATAGCCTGGTGTACTTGGTCAGGACATTCGTTTCGAGTGCATGCCATACGGAAGTCGGTGTGCAACAACAGCAGCTCAGCCGGCATTGCATTGTCTTGGGTTTGTGGAGAGTCTCTAGGGCCCCAACCGCTGGCTCTCGAGGGATTTTCTCGGAGGTGAGATGCTAGACAAAGGACTAATATGCGTGACCAGACACTCGGTAGCTAATAGGAAGTCAGCGTTTGACGATGAGGGAGAGTGGACTAAGCCAGGATATATGCAAATGCAGCTCGATTTGGATATTGCTCAGATGAATGCGTGTATAAGCGTGATTTCATCGGCATATCACTTGCGCGAGACGTGGCAACAATACAAGGTTGTGGTGGTACCTCTCGCCTCAAGCGCCGCGGGGAAGTGTAGTAAGGGGTTGCCGCCGTTGTGCCTCGAGCTACTGTGACTGAACGCACAGCTAGACTGCCACCCTGCATAGCAACTTCCTAGTAGTCATCGGAATAAAAGCCGTTAGTAAAAGGTACTCCGAGTTACGGCGAAGCATAGGAAGGTTACACAAGACGAGGTTGTGTTGCGCTTTCCGAGAAGTCATAGCAAACAGTCTGCTCATTCTTGGGTACAGTACCTACCTTCCGAGTCGCCTTTAGATGGCTGAACAGAAAGTTCACCAAAAGAAGGAGGACCTGGCCGTGACTTTCCGTTGAGCTGGTAGATACTCATTCCGTTGAAGGAAAGTTCTCCGTGTAACCTGTTTGCTGAAGGCCGATCTTGGTGTTTGCCTTCCGCCCCCTGCCACACTGTTGGTTCTTCACCAACGGTTATGAACGGCGGTAGATCTAAACGCCTTCTGTCCTTTCCAATCTGGCCATATGTCGAGGCGATTCTTGCAGGAGTGAAATATGGCAACACCTCCACTACCTCCCCCTCCTCCATCCCATCCTGCATCGGGATATCTCTCTCAGAGATTCCTTATCTGATGATTACAACACCTTTTTCCTCCTCTCAGTTCCGACTCGATGCATGGAACTTCCACCAACGCGCCATTCAACAACCTCCCGTGCTGACGGTAGTCATACGACAAAACGCTGGCGGTGATAACCCGCATATTGGCCAAGCCTAGCTTATTTCAACCGTCTCGTAACGGCCTTCAGCTAGGCACGGCCGAAGATTTCCGCAACGCCCACGGAACGACGACCGTTCCCTGGACCTTTGGCTACCCAAGGTGCCCCGAAGACTAGGAAATCTTGAGCATCACAATGTTGTCGTCCAGTATGCCGGTTCGGGCAGCGGCTCGTTTTATCCGGGCAACACAGCATGGCCAAGGAACTCGCTGGATTGCCACTCCATCTCGTTTACAGGCAGCTCAAGCTGCAGCCTCTGAAACGGTGGTCGAAGAACCAATGTACCACGATCATGTTGCAGACGTATCAACATTAGATCGAGGCAGACGGGACGAGTTCTGGCGCAAGATCCCTTGGTGGCAAGACGTATCAACAGAGGACTTCCTGAGTTATCGTTGGAGCGTAAGTTGACAGGTTTCTCCCTTCTCAATTATGTTTCCTGTTGCATTCTGACACCACCCCCGTGTGCAGAGTAGGAACATGGTCGAGAGACTTCCGAAGCTGCGAGGCTTTCTTGATGCGACCTTGCCCGAGTACATCCCTGTCCGTGGTCCCAGCAGTGATATAGAGCCTCGAGAGAAGCTGGTCAACGACGTCCTCGCAGGAATCAAGAAGGCAACCATGTCTGTTCGGCTTACGTGGGTTGAATAGTAGTCGATATCAAGTGAAGGTGCTAATTCGATTTGCCACAGCCCGTATGTCCTGAGCCGTATCGACTGGACTGACCCTCGCAACGATCCCATTTTTCGCCAGTTCATCCCGACTCAGTCGTCGATGGTACCCGATCATCCCCGACTGACGCTTGATTCTTTGCACGAAGAGGCCGACTCTCCAGTGCCTGGGCTCGTCCATCGGTACCCAGACAAGGCTTTGTTTCTCCGTAAGCTCAACCAACAGACACATGCCAAGCACGGCCATCCTTGATGTATTGGCTAACATCATCTTCCCGAAGCCGTGTCCGTCTGTCCGACATACTGCATGTTCTGCACTCGCTCCTATGCAGTGGGTGCCAACACCGAAACCGTCGACAAGCATTCGTTCAAGCCCATCCTTGCCAGATGGGAGAAGGTGTTCCAGTACATCGAGAATACACCGAATCTGCAGGACATTGTAGTCTCCGGAGGCGACTCATACTACTTGGCGCCTCATCAAATCGAACTGATTGGTGACAAACTGATCTCGATGCCCAACATACGTCGCTTCCGGTTTGCCTCAAAGGGACTTGCCGTCTGCCCGACTCGGATTCTTGATCCTAACGACACTTGGGTAGATGCCCTTGTCTCCGTGTCCAACAAGGCGAGGAGGGCTGGCAAGGCGGTGGCGCTGCACACCCACTTCAACCACCCCAACGAGATCTCCTGGATTAGTGAGGAGGCCAGCCAGAAGCTCTTTGAAGCCGGGGTCGTGGTACGGAACCAGACCGTGCTACTACGCGGGGTCAACGATGATGTTGGCACCATGTCTATGCTCATTCGCAAGTTGGCGAATAACAACATTCTTCCGGTACGTAGCCCCCTCCCCAACGGGCCTTTTGTGCGGCGCTGACTGGACCAGTACTATGTCTATCAGTGTGACATGGTCAAGATGGTAGAGCACTTGCGAACGCCTCTGCAAACGATTCTTAACTTGGAGTCTAAGATCAGGGGTACGATCGCTGGATTTGTGATGCCGCAGTTTGTAGTGGATCTCCCTGGAGGCGGTGGCAAGCGCTTGGCGAGTACTCATAGATCGTACGACCGCAAGACAGGTATATCAACGTATGTGGCGCCTGCAGTGACGGGTCGTGACAAGGAAAACAAGGTGTATGAGTACTACGACCCCGTCGACTCTCTTCTCGAGAGCCAACCAACCGATTTTCTGGACGGGGCGTCCCGACACACTGGTTGAGTCCGGTCTAGATTCTGCGAGTCGGCTCAACATAACTTCCGAGACTCTGAACATGCCGGCCATCTGGAATAGCTATCAGCTCGGCAACGACATCTTACAATTAGGAAAGGGGTGGCATACGCGAGATACGGATGAGGGGCCTTGTCAACAGCCTGGCGGGATTATGGCGTTCCCTTCCTTGTTCATACAACGTATCAAACCCCGGCACCAGACCCAATGGCCGTTCTAGTCTTGAACTGCATGGCTGGTAACTGCTGCCGTTGGTTGTCGTTACAAAGAAGGCAGCGATCGGTTGCAGACCGCGTGTGGGCTTATGTAATGCCAGTGTGGTCACCGTGTGTGACGAGAGACGGATGTTGACGGTTGAAAGGTGGAAGTTTTTCTGATGGAAGAGGTTTGAACTATCTCATACGTCTATATATAAAGAGCAGAGTGCCCAGAGCTGGTCTGGAAGTCTCATGTTGTGAAACCTTGATCTCGTTCCATGCGGACGTTTTGCTCCTGTGTAGAAAGGAACGGCCCGGTGCGATGACAGTCATATCATGCGCTCCTGAAGTCTGACCTGAACTGAGCCGGACACAGTGTCTAGAGAGAGAAGGGGAAAAAAGATGTTTGCTTGCCAGGGGTCTCACACCCTCTCGGTCTAAGCTGTTGTTTGGCGGCTGAAGGCTGCCAAGGGAAGATTTCCTAATAGGACGTCGAGCATATGCTGTTGGTTTGTTCTGCAGCCTCACTGCCATGATGGGTAACCGGTGTGATGAAAGAGGGGTAAAGTGTTGCGACTTCATATCAGATGGGTAGAAGAGCAGAAAAGACCTGCACGGAAGTCTGGATATCAGCTGTCTTTTGTTCAGAGATGTTTCTCAAGCAAGTGAGCAGCAGAAGAAACAACAGTAATGTTCGAGGAGTAGTACTACGTAACTCCTATAGCGTATCGCGACATCCTCATGTCTTGGGAACTTTTAATACACCACTACAGAACGAGGCTGTTTTTCCATATCCTAGTAGACAACTTTGATTCGTTTGCTGTTTGAGTATACGAAACCGCCTGCTGGAATGTCACTCCCTCTCCGGCTACATGCCTAACACTCAAGACCAGCCCACACGGTGACAGACTGAGAGACAAACAGAGACAACGTCAACGAATGACGTGCAGCTCCCCTTCCATCCTACCGGACCCGGAATCAAATTCAAAGCAATGGAGTAATAACGCAATTTCGTTGGTCGGCCGGGGTTGTCGTACGAATAGTAACGTCTGGTCGCAGCGCGTGGAATTGCCACCCTGCCCCCCCGAACTCGCAAGCCTGAAAGAGCCTCGAGGAGGAGAAGTCGCGAAATGAGATTCCTCTCGGGACTTTGTTCTCACTCACCTGACGTTTATTTCCGTCTTCTTGTTTCCCAGAAGATTGGTTTCCGTGGTTCGTCAACCGTTCCCCCCCAAAAGAAGATTTGTGTCCCATGTCTGGTGTAACATTCCCGGAGGCTATGAGAAAAAGGCGGGGGTGGTTCGTTCGGGTTTGGCTGGAAATGAGGTTAAGATTGGCTTTTCTCCGTCTTCACTTATCGTGCTCGTAGCGACGTTGCATTGGCATACTTCTGGAAGCCTGGCTTTGTTCATAAGGATGATGGGTAACGGGGAGGTCATTGCACAAAGTGCAATGCTCGCGGGATACGTTTCGCACGACACACATGCGCCGCTAATCCGGGACTGTACCATGGCGAGCGCGACAAACACCTTATTTTTGCCGTTTTGCCGTTTTGCCGAGGGCGACGTTGGATCTTTGTCGGTTTCTGGCCTCTGTCTGGCTGCAACAATCTAGGCTGGAGCTCGGCCGTTGAGCGAATTGGACCAGTCGCATGCATCTTGGAAGACGAAGACGGCAATATCGGCGCGTGGCGGCGAGCTAAGAAGGAGGAGGGAAGCAGAAAAGATCCCGAACGTTTTCGTGTGAGAGTAGCAGTGGCTTGACAACGAACGGGGAAGACGACAAGCCACATTGAAACTTGACTCAGTTTCGTCGATAACTTCACCTCTTTCAGATTGCTGTCCAATCCATTTATCTGACCAGCGGGCACTTTTTTGACTTCAATATTCCGAGCCCACAGGAAAAGAGGCCCAATTGCCTTTTTAGAACGAATGATGCCCCTTTTAGGAACGGAGAGAAGCTTATTTCGAAAAAAAAAAAAAGGCTGAAGCTGCGCTCAAGCCCTCGTACGACCAGACATCACAATGACTCGCCATCCATTGCTTTCTCTCCCCAAAGTGACGGGAGAGTACGGAGTACAGTATTCGTACAGAGAATAGAGACGCGTGTGAGTCAAGCGCTAATTACCTTCGTGTACGAGTCTTCTTCCGCGTCGAGGTGTCATGGTAAAGAACTTTGGGTGGACGGGAGGCACTCTCGCACAAGGCGGGTTTCAACTCGTAAGGACAAACCCATGGGACAAACTTCGAAGCTTGATGGGAGGGCCATGGGAGAAAAACGAGAGCCGGCGGTGAAGAATGGCCCTCATTACGCAATTGCTTTTCTGTCAGAGTCGCGAAACGTGCCGCATGCGCGTAACAGGTGTGAAGAAGCAAAGAAGCACACGTCAAGAGGCAGGGAAGAAGCCGTGTAGAAGAAGCAGTTCGCTGGACTTCGAAAGGCCCGCCGGCACAGACTGTCAGACAGACACACACCAAGGAAACCCCCTTCCCTCGACCGCCCCGGAGCCAGTCAAGTAGGTTGTCATTCAAGTTGTGCCGACGACCCTGCTTGAAGGACCCTGCTTGCCAGCGAGGGCATGTTTGCTTGTTTTTTCGGGCTTCATCGACAAGCGAGGCATGCGGTGAGGCCCTCCCCCTCGGGCATTCCGTCGGTGCGGGAGACCCGAAGTTGGAGAAAATAGCGGAACGGGTGGGCAACGAGGGGGGGGAAAGAGGAATCGTTCCTCTTTGAATCGAGTGCCAATCGATCAGATGAGTTGACATGATCCTCAGTGGGTATTCTGGAAGATGCCGAACCTGCGGTGTGGACATTACGAATCTTTGTCAGTTCCTCTGTCGTTGTATCAACAATTGATGAACAGACAGGTTTGAAAGCGGTCAAGCGTTTCTTTCGTCGCCAAGGTCCAGACTCGCCTCTGGTCTCCCCTTCACGCTAAGAATTTCTGCAGGGACTGAGGGAGGCCAGCCATGGAGAGATGAGGCTCCGGTCAATGATGACCTACGAATAACCTAGTAACGCAATTATCGACAATTAGATGCTGAAACGGAGAACCCAGGAAGCGAATAGGTCCCGCGATTCTCTGGGGGTCTAGCGCTGTGGAGGTCTGGAGGAGCCTAGAAAGAAGAAGAGAGCTGGGATGAGGACAGGAAGGGGTCCCATCGGGTCTTTCGGCTCTCTCTTGCGCGCGGAAACATGGGCGAGGAATAAAGCGATGTTTTGATTTTTATGTGTGTTTCGTGATCACGGACGAAGCGACAACGTGTTTGTCAAAGGATGGACCCGAGAGACGACCTATGGAGAAAGCATACTATCCGTACGGAGTACTCGTACGGGGGCCATGGCTGTAGGCAGAGGAAGAAAAAGACTTCCAGAAACGGGAAGAAAAAGGAGTCAAATTGATGAATGGACAGGGAGACGTTGACTCGTTCTCGGCCGAGGGGCCCCGCCAATCTTCACAGTCCGAGTCGTGCGTGGCCTTTGCGAACCCCGGGGCCAGGTTGTAAATTGGTGTTTCAAGGAATAGAAAACTTGCTTGATATTCGTAGGAAGAAACCCTCGAAATTTAGCTCTCGATTATCCTGGACCCTCTCTGCTCATCTTGAAATGCTAGGATCGTGAAGAGCACAGTAGGCGTTTGCACCGATGACGATGATGTGCAAAGATTGACGATACTCGAGATAAGTCTTGTCTCCAGACAGCTGGAACGCAAGGGGATGCTCGTAGCTGCATAAAAGCAAATCACGGGCCTCCACTGTTTCGGGAATCGGCGTCGTAATGGGCGTGGAGTTCTCTTTGTCTCCTTGATCGCGAAGGGTTCGCGGTTCAAAATTGCATACCAGTGGGCTCCAGCAACTTTATGCTATCCCATTTGGTATATTCCCACTTCCACCTTATGCGTGGGGCTTCTCAACGGTTCGTCCGGTTTGCTGCTGAGCCTGCTGGCCATGTCCCGTTTGGGATGAGCCAGAGCAATAAGATCTGCGATATAGCTATCCTATTTCGTCCCAAAAAGCCCCCCGAGTCAAAACTCAACGGCGGGACGAAGGCAGAAAAGGCAAAAAAAGAAGGGACGATTCATGAGCCAGAATGGAGGCGTTCAGTTGACGTGAAAAGTGGAATCGGGGATCGCACAGGCGGAAGAGCCAAGCGACTCACGGATGGGGTTGCACCGGCAATGAAAGTATAGGGTCCCTATGATTGCTTATTCAAGGGCAGGACTGGCGTCGTCATGACCTCTCTCGAGTCTCTGCCACCGTTGCTGAAGTGCCGAATTCCGTCGGATGGTGGAAATAGGGGCGCACATCCTTTGGGCGCGGTATTGCAACTTGCAAGTTTTGTATCCCTCCAGACTCCAGTTCTCTATTACTCTGTACCCGTATGGCTCCTCCCCTCGTGGAGTTGTGCCCGGCGTGTCGGTGTGACTGTGACCTCAGAGCCCCCAGAATGAGGTGCCGATCGGTACGCAGGAGAGAAAGGGAAGGTTTCATTGCGTCCGTATTTCCCGGAGGAACCCTCCCCAGGGAGTAGGGTTACTTTCTTGCTAAGGTGCTCCCCTTTTTCTCTATGGACCTCGTCACATCACTCCATAACATGCGGGCTCTATAACGGCAACGCGCAACGCCTACTGGCACAGCCGCGTCGAGCATGAATGGATTCTGTAAGCGCTCATAGCTGACAACCACATAATGTCCTTAGCACATAATCTACCTGAGCGGCGGCCGTTGACCCCGTTAGGCGTTGCCACGTAAAGGCAAGCATCTGACAACTGACGATGACATTTGTGACCAAACACAGCAAGGGGATCACAGCCATTCAACGGCTCGTAGTGTGGGGGCCGCGATAATCGAGAGAGAAAGGCTAGAAGCTTAGATTCAAGCAACCACGCAGCCTTGTTGAACGAAACGCCACGAGAGTGCCCTCTGCTGACGGTTCATCTCGGACTCTCGAGAGCTTGCCTTCGTACGTCCGTAGGCCCGTCCAGTGCAGTGCGGCTGGTCTGGGCTTTCCCCCTTAAGGTCATACTCATCTTTCCTAGCTCAAGCGTCCAACGTCGCGCAAGGCTTGCCTCGAATAGATTGCAGGCTCTCTGCTGTGGTTTTTTTTCTCCGGTTTCGTAATCTCACGACAGGGAAAGAGATGCGAGAGTGGAAGAAGAGAAAAGCAAAAACTTTCTGTGCTCCCGAACTAGTCGCAAAAAGGGCTGAGGTTCAGATTCTGATCAGTGCTTCCGCTACGCAAACCAAGGTTGTCCCCTCCGCGACGTCGGTGAAACCGTGAAACAAAAATACACGATGCTTTTCTCTGATTTCGTGTTTCTTTGCTATACTGTGGAGCTCTACCTTGGGTATTCATGCTTGATAGGGCTCTGTGGACTGACTACGGAGTACACGACCATGTCCAATGATCGCCCGTCAGCAGGCAAACAACAGGGCCGCCGATGGTGGGATTAACCCGTTCTCGAGACTTCCGACAGTTGTCGTGTAACTTTCCAGCAAGTCTGCTGTGTTGCCAGGGTTGCCATTCGCTCCACCAAAGAAAGAAGGTTCCCAGGATGAATGCGAGAGAGAAACTCTCGTCTGGTCTTGAAGCCGCGGAAGAGGTACTTCGTAGAGTAAATATGAAAGGGTTGGCTGGACTCCGCGACACGGCATTGGGGCTGAAGTTTGAACATGGGACGATGTGATATTCGGGGGTGGATGATGATGTTCAGGCACACAAGCAGGGGGCAGAGTGACGAGGTAGCACAGACTCACGAGATGGATGTGTGGTTTGATTTTGCTTCCGTTACTCGACAGAGACCGAGACTGGAGTGTGCTCCTGCAAGAGTGAGATGGAGGGCTGGCAATTTGCGGGCGCCGCATCCATGTGCAACCACACCAGTAGAAAGTCTTGGAGAAAGGAGATGAAGCCGTCACGCTGTCTATCACAGTACGATAGCATGATTGTGAAAGCTTGACGAACCGACGGTCTTGACTGCTTCGGGACACGGGACGGCGAGACATGCAGAGGAGCGGAAATGTTGTGCTACAACCCGAACGTATGACAAACCGACGCAGCCCTCCCTCTCGAGGCATTTTACTTTCTTGGACTGGCTGCCGTCTCGACAACCTGCAGAACCGCTGAAGATTTTCCGCTTGTTCCTAAAATTGCATTTGGTGTGCTTCGCGAAGCGCTTGTGAAATTCGCTACATGCAGCTCTTGTAGGCTCATTTGCTGTGCTGGCCTTGTTTCGTCAACCAAGAGACGGGCGTTCCGGGTCACCAGCAACCATTGGGATACGAGATATATGATGTAGGTCACACCTCGATTCTCTCTCACTCTGTCTGGCTGAAGGCTTCGATGTGTGTGTGTGTGTGTGTGTGTGTGTGTGTGTGTGTGTGTGTGTGTGGTGTTGGCATCTAAATACAGGATGAACCCTTCCCGGGCCCTACAAATTGGCAATGCTTCATGTTTCCTTTATTGCAGAGTCATGCCCGAATGTGTTGGTGATCAACATTATCAATACCATTCTCGAGAGTTTCACCCCGGTCTCTTAGAGCGACCCTCTTTTTGGACTCTTGAGCTCTCAGACTCTGGAGCCCTGCTGGTGGATTGAACCATACTCTTTTCTTACCTTACCTTTACGCTACCACTCTATTCGCCGTTCGGCTGCATGTTCCCCTGCTCCCTGGTTCCTCTTCACCCAGCGGATCCGGAACCAACAGGAAGAGGAAGACCCTCTTTACGCATCCTAGGCACAGGCACCAGGCCCCCGTCTGCTGGCAGGGACTCCCGGACTTTGTGAGGTCAGCTCAATACCAGATCCGGCAGTATCTCGTTGGACCTTAGTGACTTGGTGCCTCACAGCGGAGCAAAAAGTGTAGCAACCATGACTGCGCTGCTGGGGACAAGCCAGCAGGATCCAAGGCGATTGGGGGAAAGTTTGTGGATGTCATCGACGACATTCTCGTCCAGGTCCTGGGCAGAGCAAGAGGAGCGGGCAAGTGGACGAATGAAGGCCTTTGCTGGCATTGCTCTCGCTGCCCCGGCGCGCGTACCTGGCGGGATGGGCGCGCTGCCGTGGGACCCATCACGATTGTCACCATCGACTGGTAGGCTTGGACCGGGGGAGATGGAGGAGGACAAGTTATGCCAGCACCGCCTTCGTCCCTGGGCGGCGGCAATGATGGATAAGGACATGGGCAGCGTTGCCAGCGTGGACCAGCATGAGCTCATAAGTTTCCTTGACGACACGGATACGGACGCAGACGAGTTTATCCTTTGCTCGTCTAATAACTCGTCTTCTTCTTCTGTTCCCATTGCGCACTTTCTGATCGACGAGAACGAGATCGACAGAGATCTTTCATCAACAAGAACCGACAGCAGCACCAGCACCGACATTATTTTCAATAGTACCCGTATTAATACTTCGTTTTACTCTTCCGCACGCTCGAGCTTTTCGTCATCGACAACGACAACAACAACAAATTTGACTTTTACTACGACATCGGCAGCGACAGCCACCACGACAACGGCGACGATGGCGCCAACGACCATTACCAACAGCTTCCTCAGCATTGGGGGAGGTGACAACCACGCCGCTAGGAGCAATGGCAAGAAGACAGCAGTAGCAACAGCGGAGACGGCGGCCGGTGGACGGACCAGCGAGGATAGCGTGGACCGGTCTCACGGCCTCTGGAACTATTTGCATCACGGACTCGACGGGTACAGCTCGCCCGATCTGCGTTTGCTCCAGTACAATCAGCAGCAACAGCAACAGAACCAGCAACAGCATAAACAATCCCCTTCGTCATCGTCATATCATAACCTCTACTTGCGGCCCGACTCGTCGAGGAGCCACCAGCACTTTCACTTTCCCCGGACGAGCTCCGAGTCGGGTTCCCGCTCTGGCACTGGCTCGACCGCGACCGCGACCGCGACCGCCAACTCGACGACGTGGACACTGAGGAGCGGCAATAATCACGAGAAGAGCAATAGCAGCGGCAGTAAGAAGACGACGGCGACGACGGCGTCTGCCGCAAATTCGGCGACGATGGCTGTGAAGCCGACAAAGGTCAATACCACCGGATCAGCAACAATTGCTGTGCCGCCTCCGCCGGTATCGCCTTCATCGTCGGGGCCCTTTGGGGCGCAGATGACGAAGCAAGAATTCGAGGCGTTGCCGGAAGCCATTCAGCGAAAGGTGAGCAAAGACGTCTTATTTGTGTGGTTTTTCACCCCCTTCCCTTTCTTTGTGGACCTGATCTACCCCCAACCGAGACTTCGCTTTGTCTTCTCTGGTGCTCTCTATTTCTGATTGTTCTGTTCCTAATTATCCCCCTTTGCTCTTTTGTCTCTTTCTCTTCATGGCCCCTCACTCAGGCATTTTCTCGATCAACCCCGAAAATCTGCCATCTCCATATGCCGTCCCGATGGGCATTCCTTTATTTGCAAGTGCCGAGTCTCTTGTTGCTTTACTTAGCGCAGCCAGCAAGCCAGCGCCCCCCCCCCCCCCCCAACCGAGAGGAAGTTTGAGCCGAGAGACACGCCGTCTCTTCAAATTTGAGGACGGAACTGCGGCGCCCGTTTTTATTTTATTTCACTTCATTTTGTTTCTTTCCCGCCCTCGGCCCTGCTCTGCACGGGCTTATTTCCCTTGGCCATTTGGGCCAGCCCTGGGCAGAAAATAGAGGCACAGACAGTGGCAGGGAGAGTTGTCAAGGACACGGATGAAAGTGCGCTCGGCCGGCCATAAGGAGACGAGACGAGGGCGAGGCGAGTCGAGGCGCCTTCTCTCCGGGTTCCTGAGCGTTCGAGGGGAATGAGATGGGATGAGGATGAGAGATGGGAGTTTTATCTGCCCGTCCGACCTCACACTCATCACCGCTCGCCCTTCTGCTTCTGCTGGCTGGAAAGGTCCAGACCGACCCTGGACAGAGCTATCCGTTTCCTCCAATGAGTCTCCGACCCAAGTCCAGGGTACCTTCACCTCGCCAACCACAGCCGCCTGAGTTCCGCCGTATAGCTGCAGCGGGGACTCGCGGCTGAGGGGCCGCCATTCAGGTACCCATCGATGCAGGTTGGCTCGCCGAGTGGTTGCCCAACTGCAGCATCCGCGGCGCGGAGAGACACACTCACAGCGAGTGAGGGTGAGCGAGAGAGTGAGAGTGAGAGCCAAGTGTCCACTGAGACATGCACCCGAGAAAAGAACAGCCTGCTTTGGGCCCTCTCCCCCGGGAAGCAGCTCACAATCATCACCTCCTTTCCGTCCAACCAACACCCAGCACCTCTCATTCTTCAATCTCTCTCTGCCCCCAACTCGCATCTTCGCCCCCACACCCTCATGCACTCGGCTCCCAATATCACCTTCATTCGCTCTGGGGGGGCGGCCAGTCAGCATTGGCGTCAGGCACAAGGCACAGGCGCGGGCGGCACAAGGTCCCCTCTTCTGTCCATATCTGCGTTCATGCTCATGCATATGCATAGCTGCCAACCGCTGAAGAGAGCGTTTTCCCCTTCAGCACACAGCTGAAGATGAGGGGATTGGGGGGCGCAGGCTACGATGCAGACCGATGCAGAGTTCGTTCGTTCACGAACTCGCATATGACAAATCGCATCGTGTTATTGAGTGAGTATCGTCATCACAACATTAACAACACCATCACCAACAACAATACCAAGTCGTCCAATCTCATCATCTCACCACTACTTGCTCGTCATGTCTGGTCTTTGCATCGTCTGGTCTCATTCAGCTTGCCTTCCCCCCCATACACGCTGCACATTTCGATATTGCACTATCAGCACAACATGAGGCGTGTCTCTCTCTCATGTCTCTCTTACTCTCACACTCACTCTCGCCCTCTCACACAACGTACCCCGGCCCGCCAGTTTAGCCATGAACCGTTCCCGTGCCGTTGTGCAACCCACGACCGAACGACATGTCTCACTCGAGTGCAGAAATTGGGCCCAACCATCCGTCATGTCTCTCCCCAATCCCTCGCTCGTCCACTCAGTCCAAACAAACCCCCGATCCTCCTCGGACTCCCTCCTCACCCATCATTGCTCATATTGCAACGGCGGGCCTATCTTTATTGGTCGGCAGCACATCCCAATTCCCACATTCTATGGAACCCACCCGGGCCACCAAGTGGTGCCGCTGGCTGAACGGACAAGCGAGCTAAGCCGCAAGTGCTCTTGGTGAACTTGGTGCGGCGTGGACTCTAGAGCTATTCCCGCATGGCGTGTGCCGTCCGTGTCTGCGTCGTCTTGTCTGTCGTCTCTCCTTGAGAAAAGTCACTATGCACGCACGGCACATGCATCCGCACTGACGCTGAGCATGGTGCTGATGCACTGACCTGACTTGACATGCATCACGGACTCTCTCACGCTCTCTCTCCCTCACTTTCCCTCACTCTCACTCTCCCACGCAAGTCAAGGAACTACCGCCATAGCTCCCTCCTCCTCCAACCTGTCTTTGCCTTCCGGCTTTCTCCCCCCCTGGCACCCAGCCGCCCCTCCTGTCTCAATTGACGGTTTGGAGCTTTGCGTCCAAAGTCATGGGTTGGCTCCCGGGCTATTCCTAGATTGCCTGTAGAAGCAATCCCAATCCCAGAACCCCGAGCTTGTCCCTTGAGGGCCGGGGGGCTGAATTGAGTTCGAGCGTCGCTGATCTCGATGTATTGGGTTGGCGTTCAAGTTGATTCGAGCAAGTGCTCCTCTCTCTCTCTCTCTCAAAGTATCTCTGCCTATGGATACTGCAGCTTGATGACTGCGGTATCGCACCCGCTCCAGGCCAGCCAATGTCCATTGCAAGATAATTCCTTCCCGTGTCTGCGTGTCTCTGTACCCTCGTACATCCTGTCCTCAGTACGGCACCGTACGGTAGCTGCTCCATCCGTCATGCACCTCAGCAGATGCAATGCAGGTCCCGCTCACAAGCACCACCGCAACACGACGCAACACGACACAGGTGCGGTGCGGTACGGACGAGCACAGTCTCTGGCTCCAGTCCCATACCTTTCTCCATACTCTACTTTTAGTAGTGCAAGTGGAGGGAACACGACGTCTCCCTCCCTCTGCTCGTTATTGCATTAAGACACTACATGCCCTCCTTGTTTCTTACTTCCATTCTTGCCCCCATTTACATTCCCGTCTACGCCTTTGTATCTTTTTTTCTTCCTCATCTCACTCACAACTCTTACTAAGTCCTTCCTCAGTACTTTAGCTCCCTCGAACGTCTTCACTTTGCCAGTCTTGCTCCGGCTCCTACTCCGCCATCCACACATATCGACATCTACTTTGATCGTCCAGACACCGCACCCACACCAAAGACATTAAAGCAGCGCCGCAAAGAACGTCAAGCTAGACTTGCATCCGATCAAGTTTCCGACCGTGTCAAGAGACGGCCTTCCCGCCGTGCCAATTTCCGCGCTTCGACGAGCTCCTCCGTCTACGTACGGCTGCCCGATAAGATTCGGAAGAGGCACTTGACTACCGAAGAGCAAATTGTTGCTTCCCGGAACCGGAGACACGACATCATCCTTGACCCGGCTGATGAGGCCATTTACAAAGTTCGAAGACGAGCCTCTAGCCTGATTGTCCAAGACGAGCTGTGGAGTCCGACTCTATCGGTGAGACCTTCGACGATGGAGTCTCGGCGGCCGAGCCAAGATACGAGGAAACAAATGCCCAAGTCGGAAGAGAAGAAGTCCCCTGAAGTTCAGAAGAAGCGGGACTCCTTCTACGATAGCTTTCGTTGGTTGGAGGAGGATGACGACCTAGACCTGCGTTTACATCTCGATGATTACCACGCCAATTTGCGAGAGGATTTACCGGCCAACTCGAAACAGCGCAGGCCGTCGTTTCGCAGGCACCTTTCCATATCAAAGATACCTTTCGGCCGCAACTCGCTCTCCACCAACCGCCCCGGTACGACACCCGCCGGGGCAAGCCACCCCACGACTCCGCTGTTTTCGAGTTCTCCGATCAGCCCTCAGACAAGCTCTCCGGGACACGGCCGGCGAAGATCGCGGGCGCTGTCTCTGATTTCACCAAAGCATAGTCCCCAGGACACCGTCGCTGCCTTTGATCCCGAGGCTGCACACTACCAAGATCCCGAGGCCCGGTTGAAGCTGCGAGTCTATCTGGCCTCCCCTCAAAAGTTTGACGAAGCCATCGAGTTCGGGTTTCCTTCAAAAGAAGCCATGGTCACCACCAAGCCTGGCAAGGACGTCAAGCAACTGAAACATCGACAATCCAAGGCAGCGTTGGTGGACGAGTCAGAAAACCTCCGCACCTTTCTCGCCGACGATCGGTCGTCGATCTTCAGCGATGATGGATCCCTTGATTCGGATTCTCCCAAGACACCCCATACAGTGGAGATGACAGCGCTTCGGCCGCCGCCCATCAAGAGTGATCAGCTTCATTCACCCAAGCCATCAACGGAATATGCACGGATGCCGGCAGAGGCGAGAGAAATGACACTGCGCATGACCCTTACCCGACCCGACCTCCGAGCCCACGAAGATCAAATGTATGGCTGGCAACAAAAGCCGTTACCGCCTAGGAAATCCCAATCCAACGGCTTACGAGACGAATTTCCGACGTCGACGTACGTCCGAGATGCATCGTCAAAGGAGAGCATAGAACGTCAATTCGCGGCCATGGACCAGGAAAACGCTCAGGCCAACGACCGAGGGGTCATGAAGCGTTTTTGGAATAAGGTCCGGCGAGGACCGGCATAGCGCTCGCCATTCCTCTATACCATGCTCGGACCCGATGCTCTCGAATCGCAAATCTTACCAAACGCCCGTTAGACACAGGCAGCAAGATTGCAAACAACAACAACACCTGCATAATGAACCTTTACAGCACTGTTTCTTATACCCCCCATTCAATCTGTATACTGCCGAAATTCCATAGTGTCTATTATTTCCTATCTCAACAAAATTCTTCCAAAGCGACCTTTTCTGGGGTAATTGTATTGAAGCTGGGAGTCACTGTCAGAAGAAGCATCTCGGGGATCGGGGGAGGGCGGAAATGTGGTAGTTTGAGAGGAATCAGGGCCTTTAGCCGCCCTTTCCACCTGTCACATTTGACTCAGTATTGCGGATACGTTGGAGAAGAGGAATGGTCTAGAGAGATGGCAGATCTTTTACCTAAAAAGGGGTGGGAAAGCAAGGAGTTGCATAGGGTAGCATCGTCAACTGGGAGAAGGGAGGCGCTCGCGCGCAAAGCGTTAACCAACTAGGCCAAACCAAGTAAATAAAAAAATGGAATCATAAAGGATCAAAGTCCAGTCAAGCTCTTCAGTAATTCCCTCCCTATGTGGTGGGTGCATGGCCACGAGGGAGTGATGGGCTGCATTGGTGACATGCACCTTGTGTCACAGGAAGGGAGGGGATGCAGTGTTACCTACCGTGAGCACGGCACGCAACGAAGGGGGGGCTAGGTGCCAAGTGTCAGTCACTCTGACGGGCATGATAAGCGCTCAACCGGCACAGTGGATGGGTCTCGAATCGCAGAAGGATGGATAG